CATAATTTTGGTATAGTAGTTGTGACTTATTCACACTATATACATTTGGCTTCCGCAACAGTTACGTATCGTTTCATAATGTAATGTATTATATTGTATTGTATCATTTGATGAATACAATATTTGAATAAGTTATATTGTTTGTCGTTGTTTTATGATATCACGCATCAACAATATGAAAAATAAACTTGTAATATTATAATAAAAAAAATCTGATACGGGGTAAAACTATTATATAAAGAGGTAAGGTAAATAATAAAATAAAATTATTTAATAATAATGAAGGGTGAGATTAGAGAAAAGGACAAGGTAACGACGCGACCATACCAAATCGGTCGTTACATAAAGTTGCACATTTCGTCGTAACGACGAATTTAACAATACGATATAATAAAATTTAAATAACAATCAAAACAAGTATCGTATTTAAAGTAACAATACGATACAATACAATAGGTAACAACCATCCAAATAAGTTGCAAGTTACTTTTTTGCCTAACAGAATACCAAAATATGACCAACAAATAAGTTTTCTAATTAATCTATTTTACCACAACAGCGCAAGTAACATCTTTCAAGAAAATAAATACCAAAGACACCATCATCTCTTTTATCTTCTTTTTTCTGTTTATTTTACGGGTCAGTTGATGGGACAAATGAATTTAAGCTTTGATCTCTTGGATTAAGCAAAATGAGATAAAGAAACAAGGAGGAAGGGAGCAAACATAAAATGTATCTGGTGAATTTAAGGAGAACGAGATAAACAAGTAAATAATAGAGAGGAGGGTATAATCATGTCTCAAATTAATAATGTAATTTTAAGTCTTTCCAGACAAATGAATTTTGCTAGGTAGAGTTTGAGACATTATTTAAGCCTTGAATATTGGCGAGAGTTTCTCAACAGCTAATGGAACGCAAACATTTCTGAGACTATGTACGTCTTAAGTAGGGGTGACAAAATAGTTAAAAGAAAACAGTTCACCACCCATATTATCCACTAAAAAACGGGTTAGATAATAAACTTTAAAAACGAGTCAAATATGGATAAGAAGTAAGAACCATATTATCCATTTAAAAAATGGGTAACCAATAAGTCTAACTTTTACATTTATAAAGCTTCAAATTGGGGGTTACTCAAGCTAGGGATACTAAAAATTCTCACAAAAGTGATCATATGCAAGAAGTCATGGATAATATGGGTAATCATATTATCCACCGATTAACCTTTTTTTATCCGTATTAAATATGGGTCGGGTCGGATAATTTATCCGTTTTTCATTACCCGTTTTGGGATAATCCTATTTACAAAGAAAACTCTGCCAAAAATTTTAAAAATTTAGAGAGTTAGAAATTTTTTGAGTTATCAAATTGGTCATTCAATAGTCTAATGTTAGATTTTGATAACAAGACTGAAGATTGAAGTTTGAAAAATCTTTTCAATTGCTAGGTTAAAGGTATGGTCAGTTAGTATATAAATTATTGGGTTTGGAATAATAATAATAATAATAATAATAATAATAATAATAATAATAATAATAATAATAATAATAATAATAATAATAATAATAATAATGTGCCTAGCACCCTTCATGGGTGGAGTAGTCCTAAACCCCAAACATCTTCTACTCCCATATAAGAAAGTGCTCAAGCTCTACGAATTAAAAAAAAAACATATTTTCTTTAATTTGTTTCAAGGTAAATAAGCTTTATTCGAAAATCCTCAAAGTAGATCAAAAGATATATGCAGGTACACTAAATTCATATATGAGTCATATTGATGCATCTTTCCTTTTGACATCATGCATCACGATTGATCACATTAACAACTATAATCCACTATATTCATAACTAGTGCGATATAAACTAATACAATTCCGTCATATAAATACTAAATAATAATTTGTGAATGTTGCGAAAATAAATAAGTAAAATTACATTATATCAAAGCCTCCCAAGTCCTTGAGATCTAATATACCCAATAAACACATTTCTTGACATTGGCTCAACAGCTGACATAGAGGGAGGGACTATATAGATTTGGCTTTTCATAGCCATCAGTAGCAATCTCTTTCACATTGAACTCCTCTTGTAATTCTTGAACTATATCTCTTTTCTGTGTGCAATAATAGCAGACATCATACCAGTAATGATTCCCATATACAATACAGCCATTCCATTTGGTAGCCCTGCTTGAATCAAGTCAAAGTAGAAACATAAATAAAGCATTAGTAAGTTACTATGCATAGAAAAGAGATTCCTTAAGTAGAAACTTATGTCTCATAGAGAGATTTTCTGCTAAAATTTATTGGATTATAGATGATCTTAAAAACAAGTTGGATTAGGAAGAAAAAAAAAAAGATAACTCAAAAAATTTCTTTATTATTGAATGACCAAGTTGATGTGATATTGTTTTGTGATGTAATAGTATTCGAAGATGTTACGGCAGATTTTTGCTTAAAAAATAATAGACTGGAGAGTTGTTTGATATGGTTTGTCTGTTGTTGATTCTGGTTTGTTGTATGTTGTTAAAGAGATTAAATATTATTGTAACAGACGGGAAAGTTGAAAATTACTCTTGTGTATAGCATAATGTTGTTTTGAACAGGTTAAATTTTTTGGGATAGTCCTATTTACAAAAGAAACTCTGCCGAAAATTTTAAAAATTTAGAGAGTTAGAAATTTTTGGAGTTATCAAATTGGTCATTCAACACTCTAATGTAGGACAAGACTGGAGAAGAGCAGTTAATTAGCAACACTTTGTTATTCAATTTTCTTAAAACTTTCTTTGTTTAATTATTTGTGATTGAATTTTGTAGGTGCATCGATTGCGGATGAAAGCAGTGATGAAGACCTTGCTTGACTTTTGTTGATCGTTGTTAGACATTCTATCATCAAGGATATTTTGGTTTAGAACTTTTTGTATGCAAATTAAAACTCATCTATTTTGACTTTTGAATTGTTGATCAAACAATGCATTCATATTTTGTTTTTGTATATGGATAATGCGAGTTAGATATTTTAATCTTATTTCGTGGTTTCTACAAGTTATGATGTATAAAATTTCATTGCATAGGAAAATATTCCTCATTTTGCTTCCATAAATATTAGAAATTACAATAGTGAATTGTTGCAACAGACAATATAACCGTTCCAGTAGACCTAGCAAAAGAACAATAGTATCCCTCTAATAATCGTTGCAATAGGATATAGATAATTGTTCCAATATATAACAAAATCGTTACAATATATCATGAAAACCGTCACAAGACTTAAAAATTCGTTAGCACAATTATAACACAACGGTTTATAACCGTTCCAACACAACAGAAAATCGTTCCCATAGAGTGGTCATTGGTTGCAGTTATAACCGTTACAATAGCCATATACGGAGACGGTTTGAAAACCGTTACATATAACCGTTCTAGTTGACCTATTGTAACTAGGGGTGTTCATAAAAATCCGAAAACCCGAACCAAACCAAACCAACCAAAAAAACCGATACTTTTTTGTTTGGTTTGGTTTTGGTTTTGAAATTTAAAAACCGATCAAATTTGGTTTGGTTTTGGTTTTAATTAAAAAAAACCGAACCAAACCGAATATAAGAGTAGCTATTTTTAAATTTATTATTATTACACCTATATATATGTATACTTTTATACAAAGTTTTAAAAATTTTATACTAAATATTAATCGTTTGCATTTTTAGTACAATTCTTTACCTTTACATTCTAGTTTAATTGGTAGTTTTCTTTTGTTAAGTGTAAAAATCTATTTCATGTTAAAAATAATATTTTTGTAATCGAGTCCTTAAATTATTCATCACTATTTGATTCAATTATCATCAATATATCTTGGTAACTAATAAATTTCTCAAAGGGCAATTGATTTGATAGTGTTACGTTGAAAATGTGGTCGCCAAAATGTGTTTGGTAGTGTATGTCTTATATTTGAGAAAAAATCGACAAATAACCGAAAAAACCGATCGAGAAACCGACTTAATTGATTTGGTTTGGTTCTAATATTTAAAAAACCGACTTACTTGGTTTGGTTTCTTTTTAGGGAAAAACCGATCCAAACCGAACCATGAGCCTCCCTAATTGTAACGCTGAATCTTGGAACACGTCCCAAACTGTCCCATTATCCCTACAGGGACGGTTTCAGTATCTATAGGTACGGTTTTGAAAGGGTTGCCGCAGGTTTAATTTCTAGTAGTGTAAGGTAGAAAGTAATGACTGCCCAAGGTAAAACTATCTCGGCCAGTACAAGTAGGACAAAGGATGAGCATAGCTGCAGGAGGCCAATCCGTCATACACCGCTGCATTCCCAGGCCATCGATATAGCTGACCATGACTCCCTATTTGCCCGGGTGTACTATCAACTCTTTCCTGCTGTAGCCATGGATTTGGAACATGTGAGTGCTTCGGTTCTTTGTTGCTGAACTTTCTAGACGACTCAGTTTCATCAATTTTTCTCTTTTGTGCCATCTTCGCACCTCTGGCAATTTTTTTGTTGTTAAGGTTCTCACCTACGGTAATTTCTTTCTCCAAGCTCATTATTTTCTCATTGATTTGCCACCCGGGAAGAAGTTCTGAAGGATCAATATCATGAAGTCCCAAACATTTGATGACAGATCTCAGATCAAACAAGTGCCTCCTTTTTGCTTGATCCTGTACAAAATAACAAAATGTACGGTTAACCTGAGCAGATCAGGAGATAAATCAGGGAGGGAGGGCTATCAGTGCTGGAAAGAAATTCAAGAATTACCACAACAGCAAGTGAACCTTGTGATTGTTCCACCATTTTCTTCAATGACTCTTCAGACTCAAGTAAAAATGATGTCAAAAATCTCTTAGGGTTAACTCTGTCCTCAATTCCAAAGGTATAGGCAATATGAGCAGCATCAACTTCCATCTTTTGCTTTGCCATCTCCTCTATTATATCTGCCGTAGATTTACATAAGTGTTAAGTAGGTGATAGATTAGCAACTACGACAAGGTCAAATGTATTATTTGAGATAAAGAAAAGGTATCAAACACTACAAAATGAATCATATAAAGATATAATCACACAATAAGGCTTCATCTCTGAAATCAGGAACAACGAAAACAAACAAATAAGGTGGAATGTAACCTCCAAGCAGATATGAGGTTGAAAAGAGGTCCATCACTTTTACAGTTTACATAAATTGGAAAGTGTAAAAATGCAAATCTCAACACCAACCACTGATTTATATTGCGATTAAAGAACTCCAAAATTACAACTGACAAGAGTAACAACACGATTTCTAACAGATCGCAACTAAGAAGAGAATCTGGAAATAATAGAGAAATAAGTAACCAGAAGGGGATGAGGAACATAGATGAAAGGAGATGAGAAAACAGAGCCAAACCATTGGCAACTTCAACCTCCAAAATGCTCTGAGCCCTTTTGCTACGTTTATAACTAATTTCTCACCCACACTTTTGCTCAACTTCACATGCTCAGCCTATGTCCCACATAAAGTTATTTTGCATTTCATCCGTGGCATCCGTCATGGAATCATAGTCAGCTTGGTACACTTGCTCGTTCGCAAGAATACTCCCATCCTCAATAAGAACCTTGTCCTCAAGGTTCAAGGTAGGAAATCCAGACAACAATGAGTTAAATTACAACTTTTGGTTCTCTAGTAGTTACGCTAGTGTGCATAATGATGCAAATATCAGTCTTCTGTTTATGAAAAAGTTCATGAGCCAAACTTCCTGTTCTAACAGATCTTCTCAAGATAAGCTAGATAATACTTCCTCAGCTTCACTTTTTTTTTTTTTTTTTTTGA